GTCACTGGTTTTGATTCCCATGTCCTTCATCTTGTATATACATTTTTCTAATTTGGGGAGGGGAAGGAAAATAACAAAATGCTGAAATAAGGATTCAGGATGAACCATTGTAATGAGATGTACAAGAGAATATGTTGAAAACGAACTTTGCAACTTTGTGGGAGGAGGCGGGAGGGGAGGGAGGATTTGGGGAGGTGAGGAGGGAAGGGAGGTAAGGGAAAATCAAAGGAGGGTGTAACAATGCTTGATAGGAAATGGACTCATTACCTGCTCATGTGACCATAACCCTTCTGTACTGTATCTTTACAATAATATATATATATATATATATATATATATATATATATATATCTCACAAAAAACAGGCTGGAATCAAAGCTCAAGTGGTAGATTAGAAGGCATGAGCAACCAAGCTGATAGAGCAATCCATCAACAAACCATAACAAAAGGTATCTTCTGCAATAAATGGCAGAATTTCTGAAGGATCAAATGAAGGGATATTATAGAAATAATTTATCTTTCCCTATTTTACACATGTGGAAACTGATGGCTGGAGAAAGATAGGGACTTGCTAAAAGGCCAGTATCTAGTAAGTGAAAAGATAAAGATAAATTCTAGAATTTTCTCTCTCTACAACTATCACATATTAGAAGGTAACTGAAAAACTACAAAATGTATTCTCCTGTGGAAGATTGATAAAATCAGATCAGCTTTCTTACCAGGTTAGTATTTCTTAAGATTAGTAACTTGCTGTTGTTACAAGTAAGTGGAAGATTAAATCATGTTGACCAAGAGCATGAACTTCTCATGGAACTTCTTAAGGTAAATAGAATTAATGAAATAATAAATCAGATTCCACATGTAGATACTTCAAGTTTAATTCTCATGGTTTGTGCTTTTGTAAATTTAAGAATATTTCCCTACTCCTAGGTCACAATTTTTTGTCTATTTTGAATTATATTGGTGTTATATTTTTTGCCATTTACAACTAGACTTTAATAAAGCTGGAATTTAATTTTGTAGGTGGTATTAGTGAGAATACAATTTTACCTTTCCACATGAGTCAGATTTCCTAGAACCAACCACATAAAAGATTTCATCTTTTTCATATACTAAGTTTTTATATATACATCAATCATTCTCTGTGCTCTGTATACATCAATCATTCTCTGTGCTCTGTATTCTATCAGTGAGCCAATTTAATTGTTCTTATATAAATTTTACACACACACACACACACACACACACACACACACACACACATATATATATATATATATATATATATATATATTTGGTGGTCATGAGGCTTGAATTCTGGGACTGGGCACTGTCCCTAAGCTCTTCAGATCAAGGTGACTGATTTACCACTTGAGCCACAGTGCCACTTCCGGTTTTCTGGTGGTTAATTGGAGATAAAAGTCTCACAGACTTTCCTGCCCAGGCTGGCTTTGAACCACGATCCTTAGCTCTCAGCTTCTTGAGTAGCTAGGATTACAGGTGTGGCCCACCAGTGCCCAGCTACATAATATTTTTGCTCCAGTCATAGCATTGGATCTCGGGGCAGGAGTACTTTCCCTGAGCTTTAAGCCTAGTGCTCTAACATTTTAGCTACACTGCCACCTCTGGCTTTTTGCTGGTCAGATGGAGAAGTGAGTTTCGCCAACTATCTTGCCTAGGCTGGCTTTGAACTATAATCCTCAGATCTCAGCTTCTTGAGTAATTAGGATTATTGGTATGAGCCACCAGCTTCTGGCATATTCTTAAATAATTATAGGTTTTGTATTATTCCATATGGTCTTGTAAAGTAAAATTCTCTGCATACACTCTTTTTTATAGCACTGGATACTATTTGTGAGTTTGTATTATTCTATACAAATTTTAGAATAATTTCCTTAAATGTCTTTAAAATATATTGGAATTTGATTAGAATTGAATTTAACTCTATATAAGGATATAATCATATTATTAGGTTGTTTCAAGCTCTTGTATGACATTACTTTTTATTCATTAATATTATTCCTTGTTTTGCTGAAAGCATTTCATAGGAGAAACTAGTTGATGTTACAATTAAGAGTAAATAAACTGGGAGCTGGTGGCTCATGCCTATAATCCTAGGTACTCAGGAGGGTCAGATCTGAGTAACATGTTTTGAAATCAGCATGGTCAGAAAAGTCCAGTGAGACTCATAACTCCAATTAACTACCAGAAAATCAGAAGTGGAACTATGGCTCAAGTGGTAGAGCACTAGCCTTGAGCACAAAAGCTCAGGGACAGTGCCCAGACCCTGAGTTAAAGCCTAAGCATTAAGGAAAGGCTTGAGGGAATGCACTACTTTTTCTAGGTATGCTTTATCTGGTGGGAGTCGGGTAGACATGCTAACATCACATACATTTTATAACTTTGCTTTTAACTCAGGGAAACCAACACATTGCGATTATAATTATTTTTATTTCTGAAAATGTCTTTCTTTTTTTAAATTTATGCTGTTTACCAAGTGATAGATACAACAAATGTTACATATTTGGGATATTTCCCCTGGAGGAAAGGAATAGGTATTTTTGTTGTTACTTACTTATTTGTATGAGTAGCATTTACATTGTGTTAGGCATGATTTTTTCCTTTTTTTTAATGTTTCCTTTATTTGCAATATTTAGTACATATCTGAGACAAGCAGAAAAGGTCAGATAAGATGATGCTAAGCGAAATGCACCCCAAGATAAGGACACAAGTGGTTTTTTCTTTCTTGCTATTGTTTCTAATGTATTTATAAGGTACCACGTGATTTTTTGTTGCTTTGTATGTCCCTCTCCCATGGTATACCCCTGTTTTCACTGTATTTCATGTTAGTATAATTTGGGGAGCGGAAGGGAAAAAGTAAATTGTTTTAATAAGGATACTGGTTGACCCCTTGCAACAATGAGATGTACAAGATGCTATGTCGAAAAATGAACTTTATAATTTTGGTGGGGGGTGGCGGGAATGTAGTTGTGGAGATGGGAGGGAAGGGATAGTAGGGGAAAATCAAAGGAAGGGGCAAAAATGCTTGAAAAGAAATGTGCTCATTACCTTGCTCATGTGATTGTAACTCCTCTGTACAGTATTTTCACAATAAAAACTTATTTGGAAATGTCTTTCTTTAAACCATGTGAATTGTATACTCAAAGACACAAGTGAATAAAATAAACATACTGACAGAGTTAACTTTGTATAAGTGAAGTACTCAGAAATACTATCATGTGTTATAAACATCAATGCCTTATAAACATCACATATAAATGATTACCAAGTAGAAACATTTTTGTAGAGAGGGAATAGTTTCACAAAAACTTAAAACTCTATATGTAATGATTAAAATGTAGAAATCAATGTAATGTCTACTATCAAATAACTGTTTAAATAAATGATATATTGATACAAAATACTCTCCAATTGTTTAAAAACAAGAGAGATGTTTATGTGTCTACATGGAAAGATCTCAAAGACATTAAGAAAAATAAGCTAAGGTGAAAAACAGTGTGTGCATAATGTGATTTCACCAGTGTATAAAATAAGACCAATATATTTTCATATGCATATAACTATTTCTAAAAGACTATAAAAGAAATTATTAAATTGCTCAGTTAACAGAGAAGTAGAATAGAGGTGGAAGATAGGTAAACCAACCAATTTTTCATAATTGTGTGTTACATTTATTAGAAAGATGAGAAGAAAAGAAAGTAAGAGATCTGTTGCTTTATTGTGCTCATTTAGAATTAGGACTCTCAGAGTCAAAGCATCAATTCATATTTGGATAAACCAAGGTCCAGAAAGAAGAAACCACTGTAAGTATCAGCACAGAAGTAAGGCAAACAAAAGCAATACAGTATTTCATGTCTTGTGATTCCTAATGCTAGTCTCTTCACTGATCACCCTAGTATTCACTATAAAATTTATTATTGCTAATTCAATTGTTCCAAGTGAAAATTAACATAATATGATAGTAAAATGATATGCGCTCTAGAGAGAAAACATTCTTTTCCAATGGTGAATGATCCTCATAGGAAATCTTCAAAGCCCATTCCCAATTTTACTTTCTTTACCTATCCTCTTTTTACCTCAATCTGACTGTAAAGAAGTGTGATACATAGGATCACTATCACTATTTGTTCACTCACTGGGTCTAAATTCAATGTCATCACAACATAGAACAGTAATAAGGGAAAGGGGTTGAACTTTCAACCTCTCTTTAATGTTATTGTCCTTCCCACAATCATAAGAAACACCCTTCCTCAATCCAAGAAAAGCCCACTTTATCTCTAAAATGGTCTGACTAGTTAGCAGAGTGCTGGTGACTCATGCCTAAATACAAGAGAAGGAAACAAAGTAAAAAATATTTAAATAATATTAAATTAAAAATATTCCATAGTTTGACCTACTTAGAAGTCTAAAATTTACTTAAATATTTTATGAAATAAAAAGTTCATTAAAGAAAAGTTCATTAAAAGGCCACAATGAGCCTACATTCTAGAGGGCTGAAGTTTGAAGCCAGCCTGGGCAGAAAATACAGGCTGGAGATGTGGCTTAAGTGGTAAAGCACCACTAAAGAAAGCAAGCCCATCAAGCATGAGGCCATGATTTCAAACCCCAGTAATAGAAAAAAAAAGAGTTGTGGCTCTGAGGCTTCTAAAGTATAGACTTTACATATTAAGTTATAACTCTAAAACACCAATTGACAAAGCATCATAGTTGTATCCAATACTGAATGTCAAATTAAAATTACAGCTACAGACCCTACAAAATTTAAAGATGGTACCTCGTATAATCTTTTAAAAATCATTTTTATTGGAGTCAGAGGAAGATGGCAGAAGAGAAGCTAAACAAGCTCTCTCATAAAAAGCAGTTTTAGTGTTCCAGTGAACAGTCTTAACCTAGAGAATCACACCAAGTGTGCCATCACAGTACAGAGAGTTTGGCCAGAGAGGGAAAAATCCAGGCAAGGAGACAGATCTGAACACTTATCAGTAGCCCCGGCTGCAGCCGCAGCGGTTGTGGCAGCAGCAGCTGCGACCTCCATACCTACAACACAGAAAGTTTGGAACAAAGGCGCCAGATCCAGCCGGTGAGTGGATTCTACTCACCACCAGCAAAAACTAACAAGGACCAGATATCATCATCCTGCAGATCGAAGACCAGAGACAGCCCAAGAACCAAGACTCTGGCATGAATAGAACCCTGACATCCTTACTCCTTGTCAGGGAGCAGAGGAGGGAAGGCCGCCCCTCTCCCACCACCGGAGATCTCCATCATTGATACTAACAAAGGTCCTGCTGAACAGCTAGTTCCAACTCAGGTTTTGGAAGAAAACAAAAGAGTCACTTAGCAGGTCACAGGAACCTGACCTTACCTGCCAGGCTCAGTTCCATGCAGGGAAAAGTCACCCAGCCCAGGCAGTGAAAGCTCTACCCCCAGAGGAGTGACTTTCTTCACTGGGTAAACAGAGCCAGAGGCTGCCCCTCCCTACAACAGCCTGGACAATCAATTGAAATTCAGTAAACATAAACCCTGAGAATGGCTCCAGACTGGGCTCTGTGTGTGTCTCAGGAGCTAGCCCCTCAGGGAAAAGCTACTGTTTGCTGAAAGGCCTCAAACCTACCCAGAATCTAGCTTCATCACAGCATCTCCAAACTAGAGGAAACAGCCATCTCCCTCTTTTGTGATACTCAAAGCAGATCTCCTCCTACTGGACTAGCCTGGGAGGAGGATCACAACATATTTATAAGGTGATTTCTTTGTTGCTTTGTATGTCCCTCCCCCTCGGTATAACCCCTTTTCACTGTATTTGATGTTGGTATAATTTGTGGAGAGGAAGGGAAAAAGCAAACCGTTTAAATAGGGATACAGGTGGACCCATTGCAACAATAAGATGTAGAAGACGTAATGTCGAAAAATGAACTTTATAATTTTGGCTGGGGGTGCGGGGGTGCGATGGGGGAGAGGAGGGGAGGAGATAGGAAGGAATGAGAAGGGGAAACAAAGGAGGAGGCAAGAATGCTTGATAAGAAATGTACTCATTACCTTGTCCATGTAATTGTAACCCTTTTGTATGGTATTTTCAGAATAAAAAAATTAAAATAAAATCATTTTTATTATAGTAGTTGTACAAAGGAATTTAACAAAGCAGTTTATGAATACATCTCCAGAGCAATGCCACCCCTTCCAATATTGTCACTCTCCCCTCCCCTTCCCACCCTTCCTCACTCTTCTTAACGTTGTAGGATGTACATTGGATTTTTATCTGCATTTCTTTCTTCTCCTCTTCATTCTATAATCTTTATAAGGTAAAAAAATGTAAAACAGATGAAAACAGGTATATTCACTTTAACTGTATTCCTGCCTATGTTTGCTATTGCCCTGGTTCCCATTATACACACACACACACACACACACACACACACACACATTTATATATATTCCATAATATACACAGCCAGTCTAACATAGTATTACTAAATTAAAATCTCTTTTTTGAGCTGGTGGTGGTGGCACAGGCCTCTAATTTCATCTACATAGGGGCTGAGACATAAGAACTGAACATTTAAGGCCAGCCCCTGAGAAGTTAGCAAGACCCTATCCCTGAAGCAAAATACAAAGAAAAGACCTGGAGACATGGTTCAAGGCATAGCGTTCATATGTAATATGTGAAGGTTCAATTACCAAGACAGAAATATAATTGTTTTTGCATTTAGAATTTGGTTTGATAAAATGGGACTTCACAGGTAAAATGGTATTCCCCAGCTTAAGTTAAAACAGAGACTTCAGATATTGAAACTGGTTATATAAGACAACTCATAAAGGAGTGAGTTTGCATAATTATGTACATATATTTTATATACAAATTTAATTTACTTTAAAGTTCCATAAAGACCTTAAAGACCTCAGATATTTCAAACATGTTTTCTTGACTATAATGCCATAGTTAGGGGCCAGACTAGAAGGTTTCCTTACACTACTACATATTCTCCTTTTTAAAATATTAATAGTAAATTATTTCCTGCAGTCTTTGTAGCAAATCATGTCCTCATTACTAAAAATTTCCCCTTTTACTAAGGCCACTAAAGTGCCTTCCTACAGTCAAGCCCAAACTGTAATTACTTCCCTAGAAAGCAAAGCCTTGAGTTCAAGCCCTAATGCTGGTGAAAACAGACTACAACAAATGTGAAGACTTCTAAGCTGTCAGCTGCAATGCGGGTGTTATGCCCTAGAGAGAGACTGATCTGCCTCCAGTGTTTACCCGAATTTTCCCTACAGGATGTGTTGTTTCTTCCAAGGGAATTATAACTAACAACCTGATAAATATTCTATTTTTCTTTGATCTGTATTTATTCTTATCACACTTCATTCAAGGACACAGTGAAAACAATCCCGTGAGAGTCGATGGTGTCTCACACATATAATCTTAACTTCTCAGGAGGCTGAAATCTGAATATCAGGGTTCAAAGCCAGACAGGCAGGGAAGTCTGAGAACCTCTTATCTGTGATTATCAACCAAAATTCAAAAGTGGAGCTGTGAATCAAGTGGTAGAGCATTGGTCTTGAGAGAAAAAGCTTAGTGACAGTGTTCAGGCCCTGATTCAAGCTCCAGGATTGGCATACACATATGTGCACACCTGTGCGTGAGCACGTACACACAACACACACACACACACATGCACGCACACACACTTTCTAATTTTATTTGGATTGTGTGAATGTGAGTCTTCTGTAAGCACTATATTTTTTTTACAGGAGAATGCAAAGGTAGAATTTTTAACATATTTGTTATACTTTTATTACTCTACAATAATTGTCTCCACTGTGGGAAGATTTTGTAAATAATTTGAATGATTTCCTTATTCATGACATTTGTATGATTTGGTAACAATGATATTTATGTATGGTGGTAGTGTATATTATATTCCCACAATTTCCAATCGATAAACAGTTAAGATGAAAAAGAATAGTGTGTTTAGATGGAAGAAAAACGGTCTCTTCAACAAATGGTGCTGGAAGAATTGGCTATATGTGTAGAAAACTGGTTAGATCCTTATATATCACCCTACAACAGAATCAATGCCAAATGGATCAAAGACCTCAATGTAAGATCAAATACCCTACAAGATGCAGGGCACTGACATCAAATATAATGAAAACAGGGGTTATACCATGGAGGAGGAACATACAAAGAAAAAAATCACATGGTACATTATAAATACTTTAGAAACAATAGCAAGAAAGAAAAAATTATTTGTGTCCCTATCTTGGGGTTCATTTCACTTGACATCATCTTATATAGTCATATATACATAGCTTTTGACCTTTTCTGCTTGTCTTAGACATATAATAGTTATTGCAAATAAGGGAAACCATGGGACCTGAGTTTCTTTGGGCCTGGCTTATTTCACTTAATATAATTTCTTCCAAATCTTTCCATTTCCTAACAAATGGGGCATTGACATTCTTTCTGATGGAGGCATGGCATTCCTTTGTGTGTGTGTGTGTGTGTGTGTGTGTGTGTGTGTGTGTGTGTGTGTGTGTATATATATATGTGTGTGTGTGTGTCTGTGAGATATATATATATATATATATATATATATATATATATATATATATATATTTTTCTTGATCCATTCATCTGTTGAGGGGCATCTGGGTTGGTTCCATACCTTAACTATGGTAAATAATGCTGCAATAAACATAGTTGTGCTGGTAGCTTTAGTATGGTGTGGTTTGTATATATAATTCTCTAATTCGGGGAGAGGAAAGGAAACAACAAAATGCTTAAATAGGGATACAGGTTGGCCCATTGTAACAATGAGATGTACAAGACGCTATGTTGAAATTGAACTTTACAACTTCGGTGGGAGGGGGTAGGGGGAGGTAGTTGTGGAGGTGGTAGGGAAGGAATGGTAGAGTAAAAACAAAGGAGGAGGCAACAATGCTCAATAGAAAATGTACTCATTACCTTGCTCATGCAACTGCAACCACTCTGTACAATATTTCCTTTTTTGTTTTTGGTCTGGTCATGAGGCCTGAACTGTAGGCCTGGGCACTGTCCTTCAGCTCTTCAGCTCAAGGCTAGTGCTCTACCACTTGAACCACAGCGCCACTCTCAGTTTTTTTTCTGCTTATGTGGTGCTGAGGCAAACCCAGGGTCTCATGCATGCAAGGCAAGCACTCTACCACTGAGGCACCTTCCCAGCCCTTATACAGTATTTTTACAATAAAAAGTGTACAAAAAAATCAAATACCCTGAAAATATTACAGACAGGTACAGAGGAAACACTGGGGCTCCATGCTACAGGTTGAAACTTCCTAAGTAAAGATTAATAAATACAACAAATCAAAGAACAGCTGGATAAACGAGGTTGCATTAAACTTCACGGTCTCTTCATAGCAAAGGACATAGCTAGCAAGATAAATAGAAAGCCCACCGATCGAGAGAAGATCTTTAGTTGCTATAAAACAGAGAAGGCCTCATGTCTGAAATAATACTTAGAGTTCAAAAAGTTAACCCCCTCAAAAAATGCTCAAAGAAATAACAACCTGTTAATAAGTGGACTAAAGGCTTAAAGAGAGACTTATCTGAAGAAGACAGGATAGAAAACAGACACATGAAGAAATGTGCAACATCTATGGCCATAAAAGAAATGCAAATCAAAGCAATATTGACATTCCACCTCATCTCTATTAGAATGGCCATTATTGGGAAAACTAATAATAAAAGATGTGGGGATGTGGCCAAAGAGGAATGCTACTACACTGCTGGTGGGAATGTAAACTTTTTCAGCCACTCTGGAAAGCAGTATAGAGGTGCCTCAAAATACTAAACATAAAGCTCTCCTATAACCCAGCAATCCCAATCCTGAGCATTTATCCAAATGACCACACAGAGGACCACACTAAAGCTACCACCACAACCATGTTCATTGCAGTATTTACCATAACTAAGATATGGAACCAACCCAGATACCCTTCTGTAGATCAGTGGATCAAGAAAATGTGGTATGTATACATAATGGAATTCTATGCCTATATCA